TTTTAATATAAGTGTTTATTTAATTATTTTATTTATTTAGATTAATTGGTTTGGGCTTAAGAGAAGTTGGACCAAATAATATGGTTTTGGGCTGGAATGAAACCTTATTAGGTTAATTAATAGAGGCCCATGGTTATTTTATTATTTAAATGATCAGTTTTGGTATAATTATAAATATATATTTAATTATATATAAAAATATAATTAATTAATAAATTTTACGGAAGGATATATATATATATTTATGGATATATATATATATATATATATATATATATATATATGATTTAATTAACCAATGGTTAATTATGGGAGATATATATATGTATTTGTAATATAATATGTGTTTATATATATTATATTATTTAAAGAGTATTATTTTTTTATTATTTTATTATTTTTGGTAGTCCTACTAGGAATAAGATTTAGGTTTTAATGTGTATAAATATACACATAAGGATTTAGAGTTAAAGGTTTACACACGTTAGAAAAATAAGAGAGAGAAAAAAAAAGAGATAAGTAGAAGGCCAACAAAGAGGAGGCCGAATCTGCGAAGGAGGACGTTGAGATTGGAAGAGACGATCAAAGCTTGAAGCGTTGGTTTCGTTTCGAAACCTTCAGGCAAGTTCTTTTCTAACTCTCCTCTTAAGACCCATAAGTTTATCACCTTGAGTATCAGAATTTTAAATTAAATTTATTAATTAAATCAAAGTTAGATAGGAATAATTAAAAATATATATATAAATTATTATATTTGATTTGTGGATTTATCAGATTTTAATTGTGTATATAGGTGTTGTTTATATATTTTAGAATTAATCTATAGGTGGATCTGTGATCCAAGAGGGTTTATTAGGGTTTCATTATTTTTCTGGAATGTTCCTGTAATTTTCTGGAATTTTTATGACATTTTTAAGAATTTATTTTCCAATTATTTGTTTGGTAAATTATATATGTGTGTGTGTGTGTGTATTCTGTATTTATATATACTGGGAGGGAGATCAGAAGGGGCTTTTGATTCAGTGTAGCGCGGCATAGCATAGGTTGGTGTGCGTGTGAATCAAAGCCATTAACAAAATGGATTGATTCAATGTAGTGCGGCGCATGGAGTTTTGGTACGCCTCAGGTCAGAGACCATTGGATGAGGTTTGATCAAAGAAAGGGATCTAGTGTGGCGCGGATCACAAGGATATGGTACGCGCAAGAATTGAATGGCTGAGATGCCCTGATGGGGAGCGGCTGATCCGATGCAGGTGAGCTCATACAGCAGAAAGGAGGGTAGCCAACCAGAGTGCGCCACATCAGCAAAAAGGAGAAGTTGGCGCGTGGTAGCGTGTGTACAGCGCGTGTGAGCGTGTTAAGCCACCTGCCAGTATAGGGAAGTGTGTGGAAGCGTGTGCAAATAAATTGGGTGCGTGTGGAGGCGCGTGAAGGCGAGTAGAGAAGCGTGCAGGGTCCTGGAAAGTTCCAGTGCAGTCCGGTGATGTCCCAGAATCAATTTTAAGCTTGTTAGGGTTGAAATTAACCATTAGAGGGTGTGTTCTTAGTATTCGGAGAGCCTTAGAGTGTTACTAAGATGTTTAGTAGCTTTTAATTGGTGGAAATATAATTAATTGAATATTTTGCCATGGAAGGAGGTGTATGTATACACACACACACACACACACACATATATATATTTATATATATACGTATATATATGATTTTAAATAATCAAATATTATTAAGGAATGTGTTATACATATATATATATATATATTAAATAATATATGTGTATATGTATATATTAGGTAAGATGGTTAGTATTACCATTCTTATTTTGCTGTCTTTTGATTGGCTCGTTATTAAATTAACGATATGCGTATAATATGCATAAGATGGCTATGTATGAATTAATTTGTTGTCAAGTTGAAAGCTAATACATGGTGGAATTGTAGGCATAGATGAGTTGTCATAGGCGTAAATATATTGTCTAAGTATTTGTATAAATAAAATACATACATGGGAAGTATGGATGAGTTACTAATTAAAAGTATAAATGAATACTTGTGGAGACATGGTTGAATTGCCAATGTATAACTAAACATACTTAAGGAGGCATGGTTAAGTTGTCGATATATAAATAAATATATTTATAATAGCATGGCTGATTTGCCAAAGTTTAATTATATTGTTGTGTGTTAGATGATTAAAATATATCATCTATGATTACTGTTTGTGTAAGTTGGATTAGGATTAGATATTCTTATAGTCGTATAGTCTAGTACTTACAGGTTAGTGTATTATTTTATACAAATTAATAAAATAATACTGGTAGTGACATGGATGATTTGTCAAAGTCTAGATATTGACTGTGTGATTTAAATACTTAAAATTATTATTGGTTTTGGAATTAAATATAATGTTCTTTTAATTATATTTTATGATTTAAATTATTAAATTGCTGTCTGGGATGGAGTTAAGGTTAGAGGAGTTTCTTTAAAAGAAATTGTGGATTGGACTAGGAATGATTATTAATTAATCATTGATAATGGTTCTGGAATTAATGAACTTGGTAATAGTTGTGATAGTTATATTATATATAATTATGTACATTAAAGATAAAGAATTTATTAGGTTTGGTTTTGATCAGAGATGATTCATTTATTGGTTTTCAGAGGTCCGGTAGAGAGAACTTACTCGTAGGGTTTAACCCGCGATTTATTTTTCAGGTTGTTAGAAGTTCAAGTCTAAAGGTTGAGGATCCACAGTTGGAGGACTTATCCATTCTTTCTTCTTATTTCAATGTAGGATATTTTCTTATTGTTAGATAATGGAATTTTTATTTAGAGATTATTGGATTATGTTATCAGGGGTCCTTGATTTACAGGATTCCCGAGTTGTAACTTTTGGAGAATTATTAATGAAATTTTTATTCAATAGAATTTCCTTCTGCGAATTATTTATTCTTTTTATTTCTTTTTGTACTCTGTGGTTGTTTGAAATACTTTAATTGTTTTGATATCCTCTAGTTTTGTGCGCGGACTTGATCAACCCGTGTTCCGAAATTATGGGGTATCACAATCACCTACTTGTGTCATATCAATTGAGAATTGAATGACCTACTATGATTTCAGGATGGATTTATTATACATATATCAGACCATTACACAGATGGATGGTATTTTGTATTAAGAGGAGTACGGACTTTATATATATATTATATGGTGCCGTGGTATGAGCTTGAGCCTCATGACCATGGTTAGGGCGCGTATATTGCCTAGGATAGATAACTGGACATAGGTGTTGTTCCCTGGTAGGTCTAGGTACTCATGCCCATCTTAGGGTGCGTATTTGCATGTTGCCTTCTATTCAGGCTGAGACAGACTTACTGGACTAACGAGCGTCCTATAGTGTGTACTATATACATATATGGACTACTCTAGCTATTGTTGAGTCTTCCTAGGATGTATCTGCGTATCGGATTACTGTTGGATTGTAGTAGATCAGGACTTGCATATGGGCCTGACCCACTCCTTCCTTTTTCAGGTGTTCGTCAGTTCCAGGGTTAGAGCTTGGACGTGCAGAGCAGATACAGATATTCATTCATCCGATTATGTAGGAATCTTCTCTATGATAGTTGTGGATTTTATTTCTATTATTTCAGTTTTGGTTTGAGAATTTTAATAAGGGGTCCAATGGATGGATTCCCGAGTTGTAAACTTATGGAGTTTTGGATTATCGGATTTGATTAATTATAATTTAAGGATTTCCTTTTAGTTTCTTTTAGCTTATTATTTTATTTCGTATTTCACTTTGTATTCTGTGTTCGTTACAATATTAATTATTTGATATTTCCCTCGGGTTTGGGACTGGGCCTGATCAACCCGTGTCTCGGATCCGAGGGGTATCACAGCTTTTAACGCAGACTAAAACACAGAAATACTAGAATTATAACAGAACAATTCCACGCATATAGATATCTGAATTGGCATATAACAAGCATGCAAACTTTAGTTAGTAATCCTTTAAAACCCTAGAGACAGTCTAAGGATGCACAGAACACAGGCAACGGGAGAGAGAAAGGAAATAACATGCCTTTACAGTTTTGGATTCAAAACTTTGTTGCCGTCCTTCTAAGTTTTTCCGGCGACCATGTCCATCGTCTAGAACTCCTTTACTCTGGTTCTGATCTAAGAACAACTCTCTACCCTCCTCTTTGGTCCAGTTCACTCCGTTGGCCAAAACCTTAATAGGAACCCCTCTGTCTCTTCCTCACAATAACTCTCAGTTCCTCGCTGTTAATTAGGTACGTGAAAAGAATTCACATCTCTTTCCAATCCTAAGTCCACATAATGATGTATTTATAGGTTTATAAAACTAAAACCCTAATTTTAATTTTAATCCTAGAAAGAAAAGAACATCTACTCAAATTATATTCTCAGTCGGCTAAACACATGAGAATATATGTAACCCAAAAAGTATAACATATATTAAATTATGATTAATAAAACAAGTTTAATTATTAATATATACCAATAATTAAAACTAACTCTAAATACATATATACCCATATATATACATGGATATACCTCCATGGGTAAAAACTGTACTCATTTGCATTATTCAAACAGTCCGTTAATCCTATCCAACCCCAACCTCGTTTTAAAGATAAATAAATAACATAACACATTTAATTACACATTCAAATGCCACCTAAGCATATAATTAAACACAGACAATACAATTAACCAAATAAACATTTAAACAACTAAGCAAATAGTCAAAATTGTAATTTAAAACTTTTAAACAATTAATTAAAAAACACTTAAGCACCCATAAACAACTAAAACACAATAAAATAAAATAATTAATTGCCAATTATATCCTTTTGAAACTAGGGGTATTACAATATCATTCAGAAAAACTCTGTCCAATTTTACATGAATCCTCCTTCGAAGTCGCTGACGATTACACTAAGACCACTCCCCATTTGTAGAAGTTAATTCCAACAAACTTACCTGCTGAAGACACAAATTAAATTCATCCAACATCCTCTGAGGCACTCTACTACCCCCTTTCTTGTCCCCATGGAAGCGGATAGCATTCCAATCCCCCAATGTAATCCAAGGACCATGAACTAAGTCAGCATAATCGAAAATATACTTCCATAAATCCAATCTATTCTTGTTTTGATTTGCAGCATACACAGGTGTACAATAGAATTCTTCCCTTGTTGAATTAACCACTACTTTAAACAGCATGCATTGATCCTTACTATCCATAACAGAAACACTGAACACAGTTGGATTCCACCCAATCCAAATTCTACCCCCTAAATGAGCATCATAGTTATTAACCCAACTCCAATTATTCCTAATCTTATTGGAAATAAACTGAAAATTATCGAACTTCACTCTAGTTTCTATTAAACAGACAAATTGAAAGGCATTATTTCGTATCCAACCTTTTACCTCCTTTTTGTCTTCTAGGCTTATTTAAGCCTCTTACATTCCATGCTCCTATCATTGAGAAGAGGACGCAGTTTGAGGCTTTAGCCCCAACTGGCTTCTAGTTACTCTTGCAGGTGTTGCAATCTCCACCTTCTTTGATTTCTTACTGGGATCCCCTTGACCAACTGATCTAGTTTCCCCAGCAACCCCAACACCAACTGTGGAAACTTGCACAGAATCTTCCATAGGGTAAAACACTGGTTTCATAATATCTACCCCTTCTTCCAGAGATGGGTGGACCACCCCAATCACTAAGAGGCTTTCCACAATACAATCTTCTTTTTTATCCGTAACACCTTTAGCATTCTTTGTGTGCACCACCATTGCATCCTTAACAATATCTGTTGGTTGTAAATTATTTTCCACATCATCTACAACATGAATAGTATCTTCAAGCTCGACTAAAGCAGCAAAAGCATTTGAAACCGGGACGGATTCATGAGATTCTAAAATCTGATCTTTCACAGGCAAAACCTCAACCACTTCATCTACATCTACAATTTTTCCCTTTTGTTTAACCATCCATTTGTCCACCCCCTTCTTAGGTTTAGCTTTTGCCTGCCAGACTTTGAGAGGGCATCGATCTTCTAAGTGATCAACTTTCTTACATAAGGCACATAGCTTAGGTTTCCATTCATACTCAATATCAATATTGCAATCACAACCATGGATATCAATCACCAATGATTCTGGTAACTCCTCCTTAACCCCTACCTCAACCATGACATGAACGTAATCACCCTTATCGCGACGTAATTCTGGATCATCCATATATATTGGTTTAGAGAAATTTAAACACACCTTTGACACTGAATCGGCATTATGACAATGAAAAGGTAAGTTGTGAAGCCGTAACCAAACCGGAACTGAGTCCAAGACCTTCTTGGTTAAATTAACATTTTTATCCCATTGCTTGATAATAATAGGTCTACCTTCAAAAGTGTGTATCCGAGATAATGTTTGCATAACCTCCTCCTCAGAATCAAATCGAACAATGAAGAAACTATCCTTCAAATAAACTACAGTCACCTTTTTTGCCCAGCGTTTTTCAACAAAGCTCTTAAATCGATGATAATATGGCTATTTTCCAATCACATACCCTATCACTGAGTTTTTCTAATAGGATATCTACTTCGCAACATCAGCTTCAGTGATAGATACCTTTGCACCGCGACTGCCACTGTGATATAAAAGGTTTGTAAAAGGTTTAGAAAGATCAGTGGAAAAGAGATTACGCCATGACGGAGATGGCGGTTGAGGTAAAGAAGGAGAAGAAGAAGAATGGATTAGGGTAGCAGACCGGCCAAGAGAGCTTGCCGGCGTTGAAGAGGGGGGAGACCCCTCCTCCATTTTGGCGTTTCCCTTAGAACCCTAGTTGCAGTGGCCAATTAGGGTTTTCCTAGAGAGCATAAAAGTTAAATCATCACACAAGTTTTTTCGACCTGACGAATAAACTTGCAATTTTAGTACAATTGGTTCAACAAAGGAGCTCAACTGAGCCTTTAATCAAGTTAAGTTTGGAGTGTCTATGAACTAGGGTTTATTTCACATCGTTGTAACATGGATAAATGAATAATACCGTGTCTACGTTTAAATGCTATCTTAAATTATACAAGTTTTAAATGACGTAATATCTCTTTAAATTACAATAGTATAAATATTATTGGATATAATGATAAAAACAATAGTAAATGAACTAATTTTAGTTTATAAATATATAAGTAGGCTTGTACCTGGAAGAAACCCCATTCTTTGCATGCAGAATCCAGCTTCTTCAACTCCAACTCCGTATGATCTCTACCCTTTTCGATTTTACTGTTTGGTTTAAATTTTTAGAAATCTAATGGACAATCTCTGGGTGGCTTAGTTGGAAAAGACTTGTGCTCTGGTGTCGCATTAGGTCTTAGTATCGATTCTTACTAGGTGCAAACAATTCTTTGGAGGGGTGTGAGTATCAACCAGGAAAAAAAAAAACAAAGACACATATTGAGTTCAATTGAATCTCTTGTGTTTGATTCTAATTTTGTTCCAGGTTATTAGTGAGGGAGTGCTTTGAAAATTAAAGAGTGTTAAATTTATAATTTCATTATTTAAATGGGCAATTCACAAGTTAAAGGACATTCTGGTCATTTTATCATGTGTTAAAGCGGTCAGGGATGTCTTTTGTCAAATGTTGCAAACCTGAAGGGGCGTCATTGTTATAAAATGAGCCAAGCTGCATTTGGGTGTCAATAAGGCAAACTACATTAAGTGTCACTGTAATTTATGCAACAAATATTAAGTTGCATTCTTCCAACAATAAGGTAACTTTGTATAAAACATAATATACAAAAGTAAAATGGTATTTTTTAAATTATAAATGAGGCGGGATGACCTTCCTTCATCCTGCTCCGAGTTTTTATTACAAAACTCATGTGGTTTAAAACCACTACTTTTAATCTTACCCATAAACCACTACTTTTAATCATACGGAGTTGGAGTTGGAGTTGGAGAAACTGGATTCTGCATGCAAAGAATGGGGTTTCTTCCAGGTGCAAGCCTACCTATATATTTATATTTAAAATTAGTTCATTTACTGAAAATCGAAGACACGGTATTATTCATTTATCTTATGCAAATTCAATCATTGCAACAAAAATGCTCTATATTTGATCCATTGAAATTAAGTTAAAGGTTCAACAACAGAGGGGTCATATAAATAAGTATCAAAAGTGGACCAAACAAGAGATGGATTAATATAGATAAAATTGAGCAAAGAAGTGTAATATTGACTTTCTTTTGTGTACCATTCTTTTGTGTACCACTTCTCTATTTCTTTTTCTTCTTCTTTTTTTTTTTTTTTCCAAACAAGAGATGGATTAATATAGATAAAATTGAGCAAAGAAGTGTAATATTGACTTTCTTTTGTGTACCACTTCTCTATTTTAAAAAAAAAAAAAGAAAAAAAGAAAAAAAAAGCATTGACCAAGTGAGGAAATAAGTGTTGCAGGTTATAAGCCATGGAGTGAGCAGTTCAACAGTGGAGAAAGTAAATGTTGAGTTTCTAGTTTTTTTTTTTTTTTTTCTTTGCATGCAGAATCCAGCTTCTTAAACGTAGACACGGTATTATTCAAGTTTAATTTAATATATATTTTTTAATTAATAAACTAGAATATAAATCATATTAAGCTCAAAGTTAGACTTGCAATTTGAGTACAATTGGTTCCACAAAGGAGCTCAACTGAGCCTTTAATGAAGTTGAGTTTGGAGTGTCTATGAACTAGGGTTTATTTCGCATCATTGTAACATTTTTTTTTTTTTTTTTTTGAGAGTAATGACTCAATATTTTTGTGAGATTATGATAAGAAAAATGCTATACTTTAATTTGTAATTTTATCTTAAATTAGATGGTTGTTTATTTGTCAGCTTATTTGGCTGTGTGTATTTTATAAATAAATTTTTGAATATAGAAAATATCTTAATATAGAAAAAATAGCAAAATTTATAATTATAGAATTTAAACCCTCATATAGCTTAATAATCTGAATTAAGTTCTGTTAGTATATATTATCTTCGTTTGGGATACCCTTTCCATTAAATCTTCAAATAATTAAAATTAGAAGTTATAATTTTTTACCAGAGTGATCTCTTTCTCCGGAATAAGAACCCCTTCAGTAAATTATTAAATAATTTAAACTAGAGACTACAAATTTTTTTACTATAAATGAATGATCTCTTTCTTGTGAAAAAAGAATCATAATTTACATAATTCACTTTAAAGCTTTTTGTGATTGTATTTTGATTTAGTATTTTATGACTAAGGTTAAATTCGAAAGGGATACCCAACACATACAAAGTACTTGAAAAATAGAGAATGCATAAGAAATATATATATATAATGAAAAATATAGATATTAGTAGAGAAAAACAAATTAGAAATAGAGGAAGAAACCTAGTTTTTTTTTTTTTTTTTTTTTTTTTTTTTTCAATTGACAATTTGTTTAGTTTTTTAAAAATAATAATAATAAATAAAATAGAGGACAATATTTTTTTAATTATTGCCACATAGATTCAAGATCAAATCTTGAATTTTTAATTCGAGATGTGTGCTGTTATGATAAATAGAGTTAAAAAAGATCTCTTTATCAATTAAAGGTAAGAATATTCTCTCACTCATCTTAATTGTTTATCTTAATATTTTTGGTATAAAATCATCCACATTTATATTATTTTTCTCAAAATTAATGTTATAACCCTGGCGAGGGCATTGTCATCTGTCCCAAAAAAAAATGTCTATTTTTCATTTTTTGTTGTCTAAAAATAATTATTAATTTTCCTTTTAAACAATATATTTTACATCTTTTCATATATATCTTTGGAGTTTAAAATTTTGAACTTAAATATTTAAAATTTAAAAGGGTATCAGTAACTTTTTAGGAGATAATTCATGGCCCATATGTCTCCTTACAAATTTTTAATTAAAAAAAAAAAAACCATAATTTTTTTTTAAGATAAAGAGAGTATATATTTGGTCACTATTGTGATATTGATATGGCTCTGGGGAGCAGGCATAACACGTACAGTGTATAAAACTCCGGATGTACCCAATACCTTCTCTATAATATGTACCATTGTAGTACCTTGAAGGTAATATGGCTGTAGATATACTAATATATATGTATATATTATATTATATATAATGGAATAAGTATGTAAATCATCGTTGGGAAAGTAAACTAATACAGAGTAACCCTCCAAGCAAGTCTTGACCAAACAAAACAAAACAGACCATTTTCCCAAGTAGTGCTAGGAAACAACACCAGAGAACAAGTTAAACAAGGAATCAGCATTCCGCAAACATAGAAAAAGCCTAATCACCAAAAGCCACTCAAGGTTAGATTAAAAAACACGGCCCTTCAAAAAATCATTGTCACCGCAAATAGTTTTTAAATTCCAAGAACCCTTTTACGGGTGCGTGTCTTATTATAATTGGCGGTGATTAAGTTCTCAGTGACGCCTTGGTTATTTTATCTTACCAGCCATATTAAAAATTGTCCGTTTGCAAACAGCGTGTCACCATTTTATCCTTGACTGACTCTCTCTCCTCTCTTCTAAATTTAATGAAGATACCAAAATCCCCAATAGCCCCAACGCCCACAAATACTCAGTCCTACTCGCATAAAAACTCCCACCCCTTCTCTCTCTACTTTCTCTCTCTAAAAAGTAGGAAGAAGACAAGCCCTCCCCTTTGATTTCCTCATCAGATCTTCAAATTCCAGCCAAAAAAAAAAAACCAGACCCATAAATGCCGCAGGTGACAAGAAGAAGATCAAGAATCATACAAACCCGCTAAATCAATACACACACCTATAGATTTACATATATATATACACACACACACACACGCACGCACAAGTAAATGAGGTGTAAGAAACACTTACCCGACCTCAGTAGCAGCGTCGGAGTCTGTGCTACGTGTCTCCGTGAACGCCTCGTAGCTCTCATCGCCGCTCAGGCCCAAGCTCAACTCCGGGCCCAGGCCCAGCTGGCCCAAGATGATCGCCGGAAATCTGACCCACATCCACCGCCTCTTCTCTTCCCTCGTTCTGTTTCGCCTTATGTGAGTCGCCGGAAATCTGACAACGCCGTCTCGAACCACCACGTCCACCAGCATCACAGCCTGCCGGATCAACGGTTCTATAGCACTCCACAAGTGGGCCCCACGGGTGCCATCGTCACTGCCGGCTCATACAAGAAGAAGCACAACAAGTTCTCTCGCTTCTTCAATCTTTTCAGATCCAAATCAGAGAAATTCGACTTGGATCATAGGGTTTCCGATTCGAATTCTGCAGATTTGGCGTCTTCGTCGTGGTTTTCGAGCATTCTCTCGGTTCGCCGGAAAAAGCAGTCGCGGCTGTTTTCACTCGATGAATCGACCGCCGGCGGCGGTCCGAAACCGTGCCGTGATCGAGATCGGGGAATGTCGCCGGCGAGATACTCGAACGACGGTGAGGACGAGGAATGCTGCAATGGATCGAGCGGGTACGCGTCAGAGTCACCTCAGAGGTGGAAGCAGACGCCGATAAAAGCGACGCCGCAGGTCCGGCGAGGCGGCGGTGGGCGGGCGACTCACTCCCGAAATGTCTCCGGATTGGCGTTTTGTTTGAGTCCGCTGGTGCGTGCGAGCCCTAGTCGGCAGTGGAGTCAGAAGGGAATGCAGCCGGAGATATCCTTTCCCGGCGAGATCAGGGTTCCGGTGAAGCCTCACCTGTCGACGGCGGCAGCGTTCTGCGCGAACAGATCAAGAAAGCTTGCGGATTTCGGGAGGTTCAATCAGACCCATTGATCACGATGAAGTTGACATTGACCTGCACCACAGGACACCGTGATGACATTGAAAGTACGGTTTTGCCCTTGTAATTTTCGTTTTATTCTCTGTATACTCTATGATTTTATACACACAAACAAAAACAAAAACGAACAAATCCTTTTCTTTTTTTTTTTTGGGGGTGTAATTGCGTAGTCTGGTTGGAAATTACGTATATACCCTTTATAGAGTCAAAGAACACAGGTAAGTGGATGGTGTGCTTCTTAGCAACATAGTGGATGATGCTCAGCATTTGTGATACAACTTACCCAATGCGTGGGCCAGGTGCTTGAAAATTTTGATCAGAGAAGGTGGGGCCACATGTGGGAAATGGGGGCAATCAGGTGCGTCCATTACGTTGGGAGGTGGAAGCTTGGTCCCACCCATTTATGATAGTGTTGTATGTGTGTGTATATGTAGAGGAGTATATGTTACAATGAATACCGTGTACCAATGTTTCAGATGGTATTAATGAAGGTGAGTCTGATGAAATAGTAATGTAATTTGCATATGGTATCAAATTCTGATTTTGACTTGACAAATAGTGCTAGTAAATTAGTAATAAATAGGTTGTTGGTGATGGTAGAATAGGGATGGTGTATTGTACCATTTGGTACAACCCCACGTCTCTTTTGTTTTGGTGGGACCAGATGGAAATGGAAATGGTCGTCGGTGTTGGACTAGTGTTACTTTACAGTAAAAAGTAAAAGTAGGGTCAATGGTGTTGTAGTGATGGGTGTTAGGGACGCATATTCTGTTTTTGAACTCAAAGATTGGGGAGTTAAAATTTGTTACGGTACTTTTTGTTTCTGCACATGGTAGTTAATTCAACTGAATTGATGAAAAAAGTTGACTGACGGTTGTCTTCTTTGCCTAATGTAGTAAACAATTCGACGCTTGAATGTTTAATCAGTCCTAGTTTGGGTTTTAGAACACACATTTTGTGAAAGATAAAAAAAAAAAAAAAAAAAAAAAAAACATAACTTAAATGTGTTTTTGATTCCTTAGGCCTTGTTTGCAAATGTATGTTTTTTCAGAATTGCGGGTGGTGTATTGTATTAAAGCAAAAACTGGCAATACGTTTTTGATAATCAGTTGTTGATGGCATCCAATTTTTGTTTTAAAAAACAAAGCCCAAATAGAAGCACTGATTATCCAACGCTTTGACATTATCAAATATGTTTGTATAAATTTCATTTAGACCCCTCTAGATTTGTCTATACGACTCTCAAGTTTGCATATTTTCATTCCAATTCTCCGTTAAGACACTCGGACCTTGTCGACTAACAAGGAATGAAATATTGTAAATTAAATTAAAGGGAATGAGGCAGGCAATTTGAACATTATAGATTATTTTTTTTACGATGTCAACAAAAAAACATATTTGACCGCTGGGTCAAATGTTAGAAAAAGTAGTGGGTCTTCAAATTTGGAGGGCCGACAACCCTTGGGGAATCTAATTAAAAGAATTTTACTCAAACATGCTTCCAATCATAGATGAACACAAATCTTGATAAAAATATTATTTCTGTTTCAGATGAAAATAAAAACGCAAAACGAACAATGGTTTTCAAATCAGGATAGTTAATGCCCTTTTTTAGATGAAAAATTAGGCTTGAGTGAATGCAAATAAAAGTGGTAAAGATGACATCTAAATGTTACTTTTCTAGCCTACAATAACAATAATCAAACATTTTTTTAAACTACTTAAGATTAGCAACATGAATTCTATGTTTTATTTTGCTCTATTCAATCCCATATTCTCTCATATCATTTTTTACTCATTAACTTTGGTCTTCTTCTTCTCCTAATTTACCATCAATGTAAACTTGTCATTTTTCTATTGACGTCTTGATTACTTTATCTTACCCATGGCGTATATATATTTCTAGCTAATTAAAAGAAAAAAGGGTAAGAACTAAAGAGGGAGCTCCTTGGTATATATATATTTATATGAATGTATAGTCTTCGTTTAAATTATGAAAACAAAAAAGGATGAGAATTTTGAAGACCGATCATTTTCAGATTGCTTTTGTGAACGGTAAGCCTGATATTTTTCAAAGTGTGTTCAAAAGTGATAATTCCTGATGAAAGCACTCTGATATTTGAACTAAAGTCGGCAAACACTGATACCAAAGGAATTGCATTGCATGTAAGTGATTATATATAACTTTTTTTTCTTTTTCTTTTTTCTTTTTTTTGGTACAACAAGCAAACACAAAAATTAAGAGATTGTTTGATTTGTCACTCAAAATATTTATTAAGAATTAAAAAAATAAAAAAATATTTTCAGATAACCGGCTTTTATAATTATTTAAAAATTCAGACATTTTTTAACTGAATTTTCAAAAAATAAATTTTAAAAACTATCAAGCAAGCAAATTTTTATATAATTTCTTTTAATTTTTAATTATTAAAAAACAGAAAATCTTGCTTGAAAAATTGAACGTAATATACCCTAACCATTGTCAGGCACCCTTTCATATTTTGTATGATTCACTGGAGAATATTCATCAAGTCTTATAGTGTCATGTTGTCTCTAAAATTGACAAATAATAACATAATATAATACATATGAAATATTGTAGAGAAAGAATAAAGAAGAGACGTAGAAGAATATAAGTAGATTATAATTACTTTGTTAAAAACCAATAGACATATCCCTCATCAAACACCCTTTTATATTTATTCACATATTCTCACATTGAATACGTGTATATTACAAAACTTATTTTTTTTTATTTGAAAAAACCTAACATTGAATACGTGTATGTTATATTATATAGTCTCTCATGTCGCTAATAATGTTTCTTTAGTTTCCTACTTTTGAATTTCTTGTTATATTTTTTTTCCCTAATTATTAGCAACAGTTAGTTAATTTTGGATATTACATATTTCTGAAGATATTTTCAATATTGTACAAACAAGTGAACAACAAGATCACTTACTCTTCTAAAAATAATAATAATAATAAATAAATAAATAAAAATAAACCAAGGTTAGAATTTTACGGTGTGATTGACAGGAGTGACATTGGGATATAAAGTAGAAAATGAATGGAGTAACCTCCACTCTATATTCACTCATTAAAACCCAAAATAAGTGTCCACATGCACTAGTGTTTTGATCATACCACCACCTATAAGGCTTTTACTGGATAAAAATGGTTGACATATATTGGTTGGGACCCACTTGACCCCCAACTCATAACTTGATATAATTTCTGTTTTGTTTGAATATTACTATATATATATATATATGTGTGTGTGTGTGTGTGTGTGTGTGTGTATATATGGTGGTGGGCAAGTTGGTAATCTAAATATGCAGTACCCAAAATAAGGCAAAAGAATAAGTCAGAACTAAGAGTTTAAGAAAGTGATTGGGATATAGACTTTGAAAGTGATTGGGATATTTGGATTTAGAGATTTTTATATATATATATATATACACTTTTTATGAGATCAGATTCACGATAGAATCTATGTGAAATTTAGCGAGAGCTGAGATTAATTATATGACGGTTCATAATATTACTATTATTTTATTAAATGCTACAAAGACCTTCTAGTATCTAAAATAATAGCTCATTGTAACACTATAAAACTTAGTTTAACTTTCTATGCTTGTCGTGATGATTTAAAATATTATTTATTACATCGGTAAATTATATTGAGTTATAGTAACATCTATCTCCTAGTTTGAAACACTACATTGATGTTTTGTAAAATTATTTTATTGAATTAAAAAATACATCAACATTAATTTTATGGACAAAAGTGTCTAACATATATGGAAATTGGTGTAATTCTCAATCAAGAGGGAAAAAAAAAATAATAATTGTTCAAATAAAATTTAGTGTAATTTGCCCTTATGAAATTCGAATTAGATGGTTTTTGGAAAAAATGAAAATTTAGTGTTAGAAAATTATAATATTGAATTAAGAATTCTAAAATTCAAAAAAATATGTATATATTATGATTTGATACGTGACTTGTATTGGGTCAATCAATTTATGCTGACTTTATTCAAATATGTTATACCACTGTTGTAAATGTGACTGATCATGCGAAGAATGAAATCTATGGTAGGAATTCTACATACCACAAAACCAAATTTCTTGTCACATCATATGTTAAAGATAAAACATCTTTTCTCTTGACTTGTTAGGCATTTAGTGCAGAGTTAGGTCATTGTGACTTTAGATGGAGACTCTTTTCTAAAAGTGTAACATTATCTAAGTGATAGCTTATTGTTCATTATTATATGCACTTTATGGAAAGAAGAAGGAAAAAAATCGTCTAAATGCCACAAAAATTTATGATGGGTTGGTCCACTTGTCAAAGTAAAAAGGCACTGAAGGGTTATTATCCCATTCAAATAAATTCTATACTTTTTTTCACTAGTAAATTAAACCCTATCTTCCTTTGTTTATTTCAACATAAAATATATTTTTCAAAGTTTTATTTTATTTTTGAAGGTAAAATATTTTTCTATTTTGATGTTTAGCAAATGACTAGGTTGAAGGAGTCCATTAGGTTGAACATGTAAACATTACTTTTAAAAAATTTTAATAAAATATTTTACTTAAATTTATAAAAACCAAACACCAAATATATATATATATATATATATATATATAGTTTTTTAAAAATATTTTACATTCAAACAAACATAATAGTTTCTTTTACATTTTAATACTCATTTAAAATGTTATTTAATCTCCTAATGCCCACAAGCATTACTGTATTGATTCAATGCATGCGGATGGAAAATTAAACTGTTTTTGTTTTTGTGTGGATTGGTATAAATATTATTGTTGAAGTCAATAGAAGATATTAAGTTTAATTATACTTAAACTTGTACGGCCAACATGGTAAGGATAATGTTCAAATTGATGAACTAATGAAAGCGTTTGTTTTTTTTTTTATTTTTAAATAAGGTACCCAAAGTCGATTGATTTATATTATATATTTATATATTCATGTGAATGTGTATTTTGGCCAACTGCAAATATAATTTCACAAAATAGCTTACGTGATGATTTAAGAAAATCTAACGAATGAGTAATTTTTAAAACTACTTCGAATTGACTGCGTCTGTTAAGCATTTTTAATGCAAAACAGTTGCAGTGGTTGTGGAATATAGTTATGCAATGAATATATATATATATATAAACACACACACACACATTTATGTATAAATATATGTCATAAATGTCATAAGTTTCACATGTACTACGTATTATTTATACCAAATTTATTGCATACCAAGTCGTAGCGAGGCTAATTTTAGTATTGATACATCAATTCAATTACTTGAATTACCTGCAATATATTTTTTTATTTTTTATTATTTTTTTTAAGGCTAGAAATTGGATTCCCAATGACAACGGGAGCAATCCAACTTGAATTACGAAGATATTTGCGCCCAAAGCATCAATTGAACCCATGTAAAAAGTATGGCTTTGAGTTGAAACTACTCTTTATACTCATAAAATTTAAATGAGTAATGATTTATGGTCCGAATTCGATAGTTATCGAATCTTATTTATGTAATTGGAGTGATGTGCCTCATCACATGATGTTACGGTGATATAATACGATGGAATTCACCACCTCACTCCCATAAATGAGATTTGGTGCAACCCACAAATCATTATTCAATTCAAATAAACCCTCAATTTTCATTGAATTAAGACGAATAGTAGCATCTAGAAAGAATGAAATTTCAAGCTTGTGAGAGTAGTCATTTTGTACACATATTGCCAATATTATTTCTTACACCGAAAAGTCCTCTCAAGAACACTCTCAATAAACGAAAAGTTGATTAAAAGACTAAAATTTTTATCTAACAACGAAAATTATACTAAATAATTAAAAAAAATTAGCTCAGTTCACGGAATTTCTATTATTATATAGTAAAGTCAAAATTATGAAAAAAAGTCATTTAACATAGGATGCCACTGCAAAAAGAGTGTAATTTTTTATTGACAACTAGAAAGAACAAGAACAATTATTCATCATGCACTTCATTGCAACAATTGATTGCTCAACTCATTCATCTTTTTTTTTTTTTTTTTTTTGCAGTAAAACATCATTTTTTTTTTTTTTTTTGATAATTGCGTTCAAGATAAAACACCATGTTGTTTCTTGTAACTCAAGCCTTGGGTGAATGGAATGGGACTATGGGGTCCACATTTGTTATAGTTGTGTAATTAATAGCCATGACCCTTTTCATTTCTTTTTTCTTACATATTAATTCTTTTGACTTGAAAATGCAGTCCACATGCAATCCACCAGCTCCTAAAATGGGAAGCCTAATAAATATTGTGGCCCATCCCATTTCATTATTTTTCAATGGAAAAAACATTGATATTCAATTTTAGACTAAGCTTTACATGTGTTTTTCTTTCAACCTAAGTTTCAATGTGCAACCATCAACCATATATGTGTTTTCACACCTAGATATAGTAATGTCTAAGGTCATAGATGTAAATGAACCAATCATTCATGAGCAGTTTGGTTTCAGTTTATTACACTCGATCTATGTTAAAAATGTAACACATTTTTTAAAAATTAAATCGAGCTCCAGTAATATAAATTGGTTCAACTCAACTTATTTGTAACCTTAGAAACATAAGCAAAGATCGACGTTTTGTTTTGAGATAACTACTTGTACTCTCACTCACAAGCTATTAATTTCTATTATCAATCAAATTGTCAATCTGCAATCAAATTCGTACAACTTGATTTTGTATTTTCTTGCAAAATACGGCTAAATTAAGGGGTCCCTTTGGTACATTATTGTTCTAAAAGAAGTTAAACCAAAATTAGACACAGAAAATGATGCCTTATCTTACTAATTGGACAATAAGCAATCATTTGGGGCCAATATAATAATTTTTTTGGTAGCATTGGAATGTCGTGCAACATTTTTAAATAAGAGGCATAAATGTCATTTTGTGCCCCACTAATAAGTTGATTCCACTATTTCGGTCACATTGATAAACAAGAGGCCTGCGGACTATCCACGTGTTCTCCTCATTACTTCAAGAAACTAAGGTAAAGTTGCAATGAATAAGGAGGACCTATTCAATGGTCAGTTTTGAAGCATTTAAAACCCTGAGTCTAAATAGGTGTGGCTGTCTGGGCAGACCTTAAGGTTCCGATTGAGAGAAAAGAAAAGAGATAATAGTATTAATTATGATAAAAAAAGAGAAAAAATATAATAATAATTTTTATTTATATTTAAATAGATAAGAGATAAAAAAAATAAAAATAAATAATAGTTAGTATTTTTATTTAGATAAGATAGAGAAGAATATAAAAGATAATATTCTTGTTTGAATAAGATATAAAGGAGAAAAGAAATAAAATGATAATAACCAAATTACTACCATTCCGCTTTTAAATAGATAAGACATGGAATAATAATTTTATTCTTCTAATTATTGAGGGCAATTTTAAAATTATAAAAATATTATTTAAATACTATCATTTCTCTCTTTTTATCTTCTCATTTTTTTGAGACAGGATATGAGAGATAAGAAGTAATAGCTATTCTTCCCTGTCTCTCTCTATCATTTATTTTATATCATTTTCAATAATCCAAACACAATTTACACTATCCTTTCCATCTCTCAATCCAGACGTCCATCCTATTCTCCTATGTTCAAATCCCCTTCTCCCTAACATAACCCCAACTAACTCCTAATTCGCTAACCATCGCCAGGGAGTTATTGAAAAAAAAAAAAAAAAAAAAAAAAAATCTAAATATTTATAATCCTTAAAAATAAAAAAAATTTCAGTAGAAGGGCAACCCAATTGGAGCTTTGATCTAGTCAATTCAATTCAATTCAATCATAATAAGCTTTGGATTCATTAATGGTCATCACACGCCTATTAAACCATGCCCTATTCCCACCTGCATTTTAACACCACAAGCAATACTATACTAACATAGCTGATTTTTGCAAAGTAGTCATTTCCATAACCATTCGTTACAATCCACAAATAAATTTATTCAGACATTGTCTAAGCAATTCATTTATAAGTTCATACTTCTGGAAGAGAAATTATCCCAATTAATATTATGTCCTCAGGTTTCCGGATAATGTCATAGACAAATAATTTTTTTCAAGGAAATGTACCTCTACCACCACCCAGTGTCTTGAAACTCCCATGATTTTATGCTCTTACAGAGGCAATAAATCATTTTGAAGCTCTCAATTTCGGAAAACTGAAGTTGAGTTTTGAAGCATAATTATAATAATAGTGAGGACCATCCTCAGCAACTCGTGACAGCAATTCACCATGAATTATCCACTAGGACTAAACGCGGAATGTTATTTTAGCATGAAACAATAAAAAGAACAAAATAGAAAAGTGGACAACAACATAAGAATGCACCACAATTCATCTGAAATTTAATTCAGGTTCCAAAAAATAACACCGCCAATTATAGGTGGTTTAATCTTTTGCATGAAGCAGTTTCACTCAACCACAGCCAGCAGATCACCAGCTTTACAAAAACAATGCTTTGCATCTGTTCCCAAATCCACCTGATACACAAAACAAGCACATCAATTGTGCACCAAGTACGGATCATGGAAATAATGATCACAATACTAAAGGTGATGATGTGTGAGAGAGAGGGCATCTCCTTGATATACACTAGAAGGCGTAGATTAGCTTTACTCATGCTATCTTTTTCTTAACACAGATCCTTGCATTGTCCAGTGCTGACAGTGCAGAGTGGTCAAATTAAAAACCGTACTCCCTAAAAGTGAACGTAAGCTTAATCAAATAGCATGGATTCAATATACAGAAGCCCCTCGTGCAAGAAGGCAATCAATCTTGATTAAAATGCTGGCTGCCTGCCTTAAGTGCCCCCGTGCTAGAAGGCAATCAATCTCGAGTAAAATGCTACCCACTACTTAAGGTCCCCATTCTCTGTTCAAAAGCCATGTTCAAAAGTAATAAGATGCTCAAAGATGCCTGCTTTTTACCCACGGCAATTCTTAAGGTGATTCCCAAAACCCCAAATTAGTTCATTCAAATGCCTAAATCAAGTGTGGATCAAACTGATCCAATGACTAACCAGCCTGAATCCTATGGCTTCTAGGTCACTGGACCATTCCCTATTGTTTGACCAAATCTCTCAATTCTCAATGGTGCAATTCTTAAACTACTCTTCAGTCTTCAATCTTCACCACAATATCAATGCTGACCCAATTAAGAAGTGACTCGGGACTCTACCTGATCAACTTCAATTTACATTTTACTCAAGGAATATTGCCACATTTTGTTAAATAGTGCTAACATGTGTGGCGACCATTTTTTAGGATAGGATAAATGACCTATATAATCAAGCCCCTTAACAATATCAACCTAATTTGCAAGTTGAGTCTGTTGATCCAGAAGACTGCCTAAATTTCTTCAGAATTACAATCTTCAACACGGACTTTTTTTTGGGGGAGGTAAATAATACAGGGACTTCATCTTCCATGGAATTCATTATCACGAAACACATGATTTAAGTGTATGTTTATGGAAACACAAAGCACCAACGGCCTATGGTAACAATCAAAAGACAACCCCTGGATGTGGTTTTACTAACAGGGGATTTCAAGTTCCCCTAAATAAAATAATTTAGAGGGATTCTTCATCATAGTAAGCACTACAATCAGAATTTTAAATAGCACTTACCTCATAAGCATTTATGTCTGAGAAAAGAACCTGCAAAAGAAGCATTTCGTTCTCTTAGATGATGGAAAAGGCAACAGAGCAAAACAAATGAATAAGAAATGAGACAAGTATGAAATATTACAATTGACCATATTTTAAAAATGTGGAAGTGGCATAAACAGAATAAAACTAATTTATTGCAGGAAAATCACCAACTCGCTATAAATCCCACCTTCTTCCCAGCCTCTAGTTGCTGCGCCTCAGCACCAACAGAGAGAATCTGAAAAGGGAAAAAATTAATAAAAAGTCATCAGCAATGAACAAATAAAATTGAATTTGTTATCCGCAAGTCTGTCTGAGGACAGTTGTTAGTGTTTCACTGACCTCCCCCATAAGGTAACGTTCAAATTTTACAGCTGACTTTGGTAGCAAAACTCCACCAGCTGATTTCTGTGTGAAGAACATTTCATTCATCAGCATGACAACCAGAAGATATGTGTTTGCTTACAAGGATGTGCACTTGATATCTATTTTGCTAATATATCACCATCCAATTCAATATGGTTAAAAATATAACACTGAGGGAGAGAAATTGCTTAAGGAATAAATGCACCGATACATTTTATTCACTTATTTATTTATATTTTTTGGCAAACATCATAACAGATTGAATTTTTTTGCAGAACAAAAAACCAAAAAAACCCCACCATCAGCATAAGTCTCCCTACAGTAATACTAGGCCTTACAAATTATTCTAACATTTACAAAAACTGAATTTGGTTATCTTACAGTCATTATTTGGATAAAAAGACGCGATAGCTGCTTCTCAATACAACTAGTAATGAATAAAAAGACTTCCTCAACCAACTCCAAAGAGCATTATTGAAAGAGATTCAAATTGAACTTTGCCAAAATGAAAATGAAGAGCTGCATTATGGCCAGACCAACTCACACACGACATGTTTCTTTTTGTCCGACATTTTTTATGATGTGTTTAATAGTCTTGCCCAGAACACAATGGAAAAATCTCTTCTATTTTGATAAGATTAAAAAATAAAAATAAAGAAGAAGATTGGTATCAGCCCAGGAAAGATTCAACAAAGATGGAGAACTTGTGGTTGAATTATTAGGTTCAATGCATTTAAGTAACGTATTAGGTTTGCATGCAAATAATTTAGATGCATAATGCATAAAATTGGAGTCTCTAATGGGTCGGAACTTGTGCAAAGAAGTTGGTTTCACTCCCTATTCTCACCCATAATTGCAGCTCTCAATAAAAGGTTTCAAGAATAACTTCGTAATTTCATCATAATGAAACAGAGAATTCACTAACTCGGAGCAGATTCAGCAAATTACCTTCAATGTATAGTGTGATATTGAACATGAATTTACAACCAAAATATGGCACTTATATTACCAAGCACCAGCCTTTAGCTCACCATTAGTTTCAGCCTTTTAATCTCAAGAAGCACTAGTATTCAGTATTCACCATCCAATTAGACCAGCTTTGGTGTTTAGGCATAGCTATATATTATTGTATAATGATCCCGTATAGACCTGTCAATGGATCGGATTTTGATCCGCATCCGAGCAAATAATTGGGATATGGATTGGAACATTTAATCCGATAACCCGTTAGCGATCTGAATCCGATAATTTGTTACCTAAACAAACCGGATATGGATTATGGTTGATCCGGTCCAATAATAATCCGATCAGAAATAATATAATATATAATATGCTACAAATAATATCTAATGGTATATATATAATATTTATATATTATTAAAATGTTTCTAATTATTTTTTCCTTCTCACATCTTTCTATTTTGTCTCTAGTTTTTTTTTTTTTTTTTTATTTATTTATAAAAAGTAAAATACCTAGATTTGTACTTTTTTTTTTTTTTTTTTTTTGTTTATATAATATTTTTCTTCTTTGGCTTGTATTTTTTTCCTAATCATTGTTTGCTATTCTCTTTTGATATTATTTATTTTTACAATATATATATATATATATATATATATATATATATATATATATATTCGGATCGGATTATCATATCAGATGTCCGATAAATAACAAGTCAGATATGAATTCTATTCTCAATAATCTATCAGATTATTGGATCGGTTTAGAAAATGGTAACTAATCGGATCAGGACTGATCACTGATCCGATCCATTTACAAGCCTAATCCCGTATACCTAGGCCTGTGGGTCAACCGTTTTTGTTGCATGTTTGTGTTGCCGGGCAAGCTATTGTAGCGGTAAATTGGCTGATACGTGTTTGGTTATCCAATTGATGTTTCTTATAGTAACCCAATTTGATTCCAAAAACCAGCCAAATAGGAAACAAAAAATTGATGTTTTGGGGCTTTTGGCACTATAGCAGGATTTACTTAGCAGGCCTGTTGTAAAACTTTTGAACCACGTATAAAAGGCATTTCCAAAATGTTTCACAACCCATTTGGAGCCCTAACTCTGGCGATTCGGGCACTCTCCAACTTAATCACTCTTGCCGATGACGACCTCCACACACATTACATAACCTCCGGTAAATCTTCTCGATTATTTCTTCTTGAATAAGCTCTATTTTCTGCAAATCTAAAAACCCTATATTTGAAGAAAATAGATCTAACTTTTTCTTCTTGAATAACCTCTATTTCTTCCTATTATTTCTTTTGTTTTTGTTAATATCACTTCAGATCTAGAACCCAAGCATTTTAATAGTAAATTTTTTGTTTTGAGCGGAAGTGAAACCCTGATTCCTCTTCATCTTATTCGGTGAAACTCGAGTGAATCAACTTTGCGTCTCAAGTTTCTCATTGAACTACGGTGAGGTTATTTTTCTTTCTTTGTTTTTGCAAGAAAAGTTTTGTTCATTTCTTCTTTGTCTAAAGAATGGAACCCTATTTTCGTTATTTCTTTTTCTTTCAAAATCCAAGTCTCTGAAGCAGCAACCCTAGTTAGTGACCAAACTGTTTTTTTTTTTTTTTTTACCTTTTGGTTTCATTACTTTTACTGGGTGAGGTTACCATAATCACTAATTGGAATGAAGAAATGAAACCAAGGTAAAAAGAAATAGAGTTTTGGCACTTTAGTAACAAAACTAGGGTTTTGTTTGTTGCTAAAAGAAAAAATTAACGAAACCTTAGTTTCGGTCTTCAAACAATGAAGAAATGAACAAGACCCTAGTTTCGTTCGTGCAAAAATAAATAAAAACAAATAAACTCACTATAGCTCGATGAGAAATCTGAGACACAAGCTTAATTCACTAGAGTTCCGCCAAAAAAGATCATGATAGAGATAACCTAAATTTCCAGAGCTAGGGCTCAGATGAGATGGGAAAAAATGTTGAAGCAAATGGACTGAAACATTTCAGGAATGCCTTGCATGCATGGTGAAAATTTTGCATAAAGCCTGCTACATTGCGGAAACATATGGAAATATCGGGCCGATTTTTGGAATCAAATTGGATTATTGTAGGAAACATCAATTTGGTTACCAAAGGGCCAACTAACCGTTATAGTAGCAAGCCCACAACACAAAACAAGCAATGTAAACTGTTGTCAAACAAGCCCTAAGGTTTGGTCCCAAATATGAGGGTGATGGAATGCGAGGGCAGAAAAAACGTAACCTTTGTCCTTATTTGCACAAAATAGTTATTCTTAAAATTAAACCCACTCCACTCCTAACACTTGTGCCCGACTTTTTCCCGTTACAGCAAGCAACGGCACTTATCCATTCATGATATGGCTTTATTGTGGAAGTAAGCAAATGTGATACAAGCAAATGCATAAAAAAGATCCAGAAGAACAACACCTTCAATAATATTAAGATATTTACCAAAGGAACAATTCCAGCAGAACGTAATAAAACTTAATAATAAGCCAAGGCTAACGTTTGAACATAAAGTTCTTTATACATTTATAAAGAAGAACAGAAATGAAATGGGTAGGAATATTGCCACAATAATTTTAATACTTTCAGACCATTTTAAAACACTTCAGTGGCCAATGTCAGCTGAATTTCCTATTTGCAACAAAATTGCTTGGGCAAAACATTTCAAATTACAAAATTCTCTTTAGATAAACCATCTTTTCTGGAAGAGGAGTATGTGTATATAAAATCAAGTGTGAAAACGTAGTAAGAAGGAAACATATACTGATTACTACAAGAAGTTTAAGTAAATTGAGCTTATAACAAGTGGAACCTACTAAAAATCCTAATATAAATGTCTCCAAAACCGCATTTAGATCAACCATAAAACAGACAGGACCTCCCATTTTGAATCTTAAAATTTGAATTCACAGATAATCTATAATATACAAATATCACCTCAGGTAGTTCCTCTAGACGAATCAACACTCTATCAGCTTGCGGCACAACCTGTAATTTAAAGCGCAAAATAACACTAAATGAAAACCCAAAAGATACACAAACACAAATATGAATTATTAAGAAAGTGAAGATTAACTACTTATCAAAAAAAAAAAAAGACAAAAAAAAAAGTGAAGATTAACTAGAAATGAACCTTAGTGGCCTCAAATTTCTTTGCAATCGCACATACTCGCAGAGAATTTCTTCGTTGACCTGTTCAACAACCCAAAAATGCAAAATTTATATATAAATTTGACAAAATTATAAATAGAAAACATTACTGGGGATAAACAGAGGTTTAGGGTTTAAAGAAGAACCTAATAGTCTGCGGTTTGAGGAGAGAGAAGGAAATCTGGTGTTTTGAGTTGTAAAAGGTTTTGGGACTGCAACGAAAGCAGACGCCGCCATGGATAAGGAGAGAGAGAACTTAAGAGAGAGAGAGAGAGAGCTGAGCAGTTAGAGAATACGAAAATGAAAGGATAGTGGTGTAGGTGTGTGAATATATACGTATAAATACACGTGGGTCGTATAGCCTGGCGATTTCAAACTGTGTTCTAGAGAGTTCAGAAATTTGATCCAAGCCTTACGAAACATAATGGGCCGTGATCCAAAGTCCAAACCTACAATTCGGGTCGTGTTGACAATATTAATAGTCCATATCTTCAAAAAAAAAAAAAAAAAAGGCCTCACAAAATTTCAAAAGACGAAAATGCCCTTTCTCTTTGTCGTCGCATACAGAGGGTTAGAATAAAAGCTGAAGATGCCTTTTGTCATGTTGCAATATTTGATTTTTCCTTTAGATACATGAAGGGTTGCTCTGGTCTTTTCACATTAATTGTAACTAGGACTCGATGAATTTACTTATTTGTCATCTTTTTATGTAGGCTGAGCAATGGCGTAGTCAGAAATTTCCTTCAATGGGGACAATATTTAATAGCAATAATATATATATATATATATATATATATATATAATTTTTAGTAAAACAATATATGTAAAAATTAAAACATTGATTCATAATATTTCTATTCAGTACATTCACAACGATTTTTCACATTATTCATTGTTGTTTCAAAATTTAATTTATTGAATTAAATATACTAAAAAAAATTTAAATTCAATGAATCAAAAATAAGATATGAAAAAGAAAATAACTAAGTTACCTAATTGTTCTAATATATCACATATGTAAAAAAATAAAAATAAATAAATAAAACCATGATAATCAAATCTAACCTTATAAGTTATAACAAGATAATTCAATCCATCAGAAATTTTGATAGAGTTGAATATGTGATTTCGTTGATTTGGGTTGAAAAAAAAAATTAAAAAAAATTTTCTAAGTTTTATTTAGAGAATAATAATTAATAACACAATTACACAAACTAAATTTTGAAAGAACAATAAGTTCTAAAATAATTTTGATAATAATAACGAATAATTTTTCTAATTAAAATTATAATATCAAATAATAATAGTAAAATTTAGATGATAAAAAATATATATCAGATTACTCCCGAGGTATTATAAAATGAGACCGCAGTATGATTATAGTAGGGTATTTGAAAGAAATAGATTATTACCTGTCTGTTGCACTACATTGAGTGGGTCTACTGGTAATTCCACTTACTTTGTTTGGATTGTGGAAAATGTTTGAAGACTGAAGATGTAATGAAAATAATCTATTTGTTTGTGTAAAGTCAAAAGTATGATAGAATATATTGATAAAATTATTATTATTATTATTATTTGGAAAGTGGAAAAGAATATAATATTTTGGGAAAGTGAAAAAAAATATTATATTATCTGATAGATAACTGTGAATGAGATTTTAGTTATATATATATAGCCTATATATGCACACTGTCAAATTTTAGAGGCTTTTGGTTATATATATATATATATAGTATATATACGTGGATTGTCAAATTTTAGAAGGGACAATTATATAAATATAAAAAAAATTTCATATAAAATTTTAAAAAATTAAAAGTTTAGTGGGGGCAACTGTCCCCACTTGTCCCTCTGTGGCTACGCCACTGAGGCTAAGTGTTTAAATGAAACATCAATTATTTCATACATTCTTATCTTTGTCTTTATTTATTTGTTTGTATAGTTCAGGACTGCTTAATAATTTCTCTTTATTTAGATTAATTTTAAATACTTATATTTATCCTTTTTTAGAAATTTTCATAATAAACCAGCATCTTGTTAAATCTAATTGATTGGTAATGTGCAACTTGATAAATATTGTATACAAAGATCGAACTCCACATATTCATGGTGCCTGGTGCGAGAGTATTTTAGTAATTTTTGTACTTTTTATATTGTCACAGTGTGAGAGTATTTATTCATTTAAAACTTTGTGTATTAGTACCTTTGAAATTTCTTTTAACCCAACCTTAATTTTGGGTAAACCAAATAAAAATTAATGTATTCTTGTACTTTTAAATGTAGTATGTGTTTAGTGTTTTTCCTTATTTTCTATTTAAATTGTACCACTAATTTCACAAAAAAACAAAACAAAACAAAAACAAAAACTTGTTGAAATATAAATCTAAATTGACTTAAAGCAAGCCTATTGAAAGAGTAGTAATCATTCAAGTTTTTCTGTTTACTTCAAAACATTCAAAAATGTTACCTTTTTTTCAACTAATAAAAGTATCTTTGCGACATCCCAATAAACCAAACTCAAATCTAATCAACAAGACAAATTTTACCATGCAAGTGTAAGGATCAATTGGCCACCCCTATTGGTATCCAAAGACACAGTCACAGTATATTCTGAAGAAAGAAAAAGAAAACAGTATAAAGTAGTAAAAACCCTTTTATCCAATTTTCTCATATCATTCCTTCATATTCCTTGACAATGGTGGGCCCATCCAATTCCCAGGTTTTGAAAATCTGTAGGTGTGTTCTCAAACTTCGCTCCATTTCTTAACAAAAAGAAATCTGGATAACAACTCACACAACGGCTAGTAGGGACCACCACTCTCAACTTTTGTCCTTAAATCTCTGCACCCCTTAAATATGTCCTTTTCTCGTCACCTCACTTTTCCCGGAAAAGTGATACACCATTTTCCATTCCCACAAACATGTTTACATTGTTAAAGAAGAAAACCCTTTTCTCAAATTAGAGTTCCCTTTCTTTTTCTTCCCATTTTCTCAGATTTTTTTTTTGCAAGCAATAGTGATGGTGATAAAGAAGCTTGGGTGCTGTGAGTGGATTTTTCTTTGTATTCTGCTGCTTGCAGCTGTTGTTTCTTCCAAGAACCATGGTAATCTATGTTTGTCTCTCTCTCTTGATTTATTTGGTTTCATAATCTATTTTATCATAGCATATGATATGCCTAAAATATCCTCACTTTTGTTGTTGTTTGCAACTAGAGATTTTGGTTGATTATTCTGATATTTGACTAGGTTTCATTACTTTTTCTAGTAAGATTTATGGTTAAATAGATACTAATAATGACAGTAGAAACTCTTGTGGCACTCTCTATGGTTAGTTCAGTATATGGAAAAATAAAAATAGATTATGATAAGGTGTAGTTTTGATGGAGAATTTGCATTTACTATTGATTGAGTTTGTACTTTGTGGAAGAAGCTGAGAAAAATAACTTTAAAACAAAGATATATGAGAAGATACCAGATATTAGAACGATTCGACTTTCAAGTGATTTAGTTGAAAATGCTCAACTTTTAGTGTAAAGGATATATGAAGAAGCTTGCTTAATAGGCCTGATACTGAAAAATTGTAGTGAACACAATGCGGAGTGAGCAATTTTAGAATCCAATATACGGATGAACAGGACAATATTTTTGTTAAAATATTAGAATGTAAAGCAGTAACAATGTTGGTGTTGTGTTTGAGTGGCAGATTCTATATTGCTCAAGTCCACCTCTAACTATATAATTTGTACATAATTCATAAGATAAGTTTTGATAAATTTTTTTTAATTTTTTTCCAAAGAAACAAATTTGGTCAAGAAAAAGATTTTACAAGATGGATGGAGAAGTGGTGGTCCTTCAAAGAGAAGTAAAGAATTCACAGATGGAATGAAAATATTTGGTCAGCCATCTTGCTCTGTCACACATAGTATTGGCACGAGAGCTTTGAACAGTCGTCTAGTTTAGAAGGTATTAACAGCATTCATGTTAGCAAGGACGCTGTTTAAGAAAGCACCTTAACATTGGGGGTATGCTTTTCAGACACCAATTCTAGAATGAGGATTGTTGCTTAGGTATATTGATCGAGGAACAGGAGGAGGACTTACAAGATAAGAAACCATTTGATAGGATATCTAACTAAAACAACTCTAATCCTCAAAAGAATAGGATGTACATATATTCCACCTTAAAATAGTTAAGTTGTGGATGAAGATTTGCCCGGAGGCCTTCACCAAAAAAAAAAAAAAACTGTCTTTTGATACAGATGAGAGGCATCTATATACCTGATGTGATGGATAAAAATTAGGCTAGCTGGTGATGGACTTCCTAGAAGAAAAATAGCATTTGGAAAATGATAAACTTGACTATCTAAGAGATGAACACTTGGGAGAGAGACTCTATTATTTTTAAATACTGATAAGAGTCTTGTTAGACACTATCCATTAGAGTCGCGCAAAAAAAACGATCGCTTTTTGTAGCATTACTCATGACATTATTTGGTAGCTACTACTTATATCTGAGCTCCAACCACTCTGATGCAAGTCAAATTTATTAGGAGGGACTGAATGCCAAATGATACACACATTTCCTTCAAAATCTCGAGAGTCTCTTTTTCAGCTTTATAAACCCATCCCGACTGCTCATAAGAGTTGGGAGTCTTGGGACCTATTATAGTTGTTGTACCTTAGCAACTATCTAAATTTTTAGGGACCCATGACTTCATCCAGGCAATACCTAGCATTATCTCATTACGTCACAAAAGTGTGTTGTTAAATTGCACTTAATTCTATTACTATCTGTGAATTTAAAATTGTTCCGACGTATTAAATATCTGCATCCTTATGAATTCTGTTTGAAGTTCATAGTTATTAGCGTGGCAGCAGATTTTACACCTCATCGCAATAGTTTTGTTCAGATGGTAAGTTGCAAAGGGTAAAGATTTTGATGGATGATGTAAATTCGTGTTAACTCATGAAAAATAATAAAATGAAGTATATATACAAAAATTGCGAAATTGGGGTGAGAAAATTCAGAGCTAGTGGCAACTCTAACAAAATGAAAAGGAAAGCGAGATTACAAGGAATCAATGGAGAAAAGTCTCTGATAGGGAAACCGATGCATGGTTAGTAAAAGAGATGTGCATTGAGATCCTGGATTAAATAATAATAATAATAATAATAAATCAGTTGCAAATGCTTTTGAATAATTTCTTACAGTAGGTTGTCACAAACTGTTTTGTCCTACAGAAAACCCTGCAAATGATCTTGTGGACCTCATCAACAAGAATCGAACAGCTCAAAGGCTTTTGCCACTAAACAACAGTCCTGGTCTTGGGTGCATGGCCTTGCAGTATGCAGAGGAATGCAAAGGGAACTGCACTGCTAACAACACCATAAACTATCGACCGCCGGAAGATGACTTCACAGAGGTTTTTGCTCCCAATTGTGGTGTGGAACTACCCACTTTTGGCATCATATCTGGTCACATTGTTGGGTGTCAGCACAAATATCTCGAGCCATCAGAAGCCTTCTCGCATGTCCTTGTTCGAGATAAGAAGACTCTATCCCTAGTGAGAAACAAAACACATACTGAAGTAGGAGTTGGCTATGTTAGGAATCATAAAGGGGCTTACTTTTGGTGTGTTTTGTTCAGTAGTAGTCAGACAAATACTACATTTGTGCTTGAAGATCTTGGTAAAGGGATCAAGCAAAAGAAAGGGTGCTATAGTGGAAGCAGCATTCCATGCAGCAGTGGACAGAAAAAAACCAGTGTGTTTTCGAACAATATTTTTGTCGCGTGTTTTCTATATATTTATCTGTTGGAACACTTGTGCTCCAATTTATTCTTGACAATTTGAAAAAAACTTATATTTACATGCTCTAAAGTTTTGTTTCCGACTCTGGAATACCTTCCAAGTCGCAATTTTCTGGCTCCTTTCATTCTGTGTGGTTTTGAAGATTTGCACTTCTTGATCTTAGCAAGTGTGAGACTGTATGTATTAGCGAGTGTGAGAAGTATGTATTATTCCCAGTAAGACACATCCTAATCTATGATACAATTACAGATATTTGTAGCTTTTATGACAGAATTTGCATCTCATGATATTTGATAAACCTAAAAATTCAAAAAAAGAAAAATGTATATTCATTCTGATGGATGTTCAAGAAAATTTCTTACGACAAACCACCCATTTCATCCAAACGATTGCACCTTCTATAAAATCAGCAAGGAAGGTGATATTTAAACCGTTCTCGATCTTGCTTAGACTTTGTTACAGTGACAATTGTTTAGATGAATGTCATTTACCTAAATTATTCAAATTTACACGAGGTTAGGAATTATCACTGTACATTATTTTCTTTTCTTTTTCTTATTAAATTAATATTACTACTTCCTTCCATTTCTCTTCCATTTGAGTAAAAAATCCTAAGCAGCTTGAAGAGAGCCATGTTGGAAGTATTACTGAATTTAATGAGAACCTATACATTCCATGAATGCACTCTATCCCCATTGAACTAGTTGATGATACACAATTGGCCCTCTTCTACGTATAGAACATCCCATATATTGTCATGGAAGTCCAACAAATTTCAGCTTTTGTTTTTCCAGGCAAAAGTCTGGCTGATTATATAAAGAGCTTGGAAAATATTGAAAATTCATGATGAATATAATTGATCTAACTAAATATTTTTGTGAACAAATGAAAGTAATTGCCTTTGTTGTCCTTAAACAAGCCATTTATGCTGATAGCTACAACAATCAATTTCAATGCAGAATCTCAAAATATTCTATATCAGTATCTAAACACAATCACCTTCCCTGTTCATTTTATGCTCTTAATGAAGAGGGATTTAAAGATAAATTTTGGAGGTTCTTAGTCTTTTCTTGCCCTATTATTCCACACCAGAGTTTCTCAGCGGTCTATAATGTGAGGCTTCCATTGAGTCTCCAAATGTGTTGTTTTTTTGGGGGCAAAACTGTTTTACAAAGAAGTTACGATGAACAAAAATGAATAATTCAGGCATTCAAGCATACAGTGCGTGTAAAGGGCAACTTAAATGTGCCATCTGGTAGCACCTGAGCTATTTTATAGAATCAATGGGACCTAAGGATCCATCTTAGTTGCCAAATCAAAGAGTACATCATCCCTAACGAACAATATATAGAAATCATCATGAGGGGTAGGAAGGGAAGCCTGGTACCAAAAACGATAGGATGTAGAAACTGTCCCCATGTCTCAACAGCCAAAAGGCCCAAAAGGTAACACTTTCTGGTCCATCCGATATAAAACCCTTGTTTCTTGGCAGTGCCAGAACTCCCCTTTAATCTCGATTTATCACCTCTTTTCCGCCCTGGTACAGTCGCTTCTACCACTTTGGTCTTCGAGAAATGCCACGAAAATCCAAACCACATGACAATGAAGTGTAGAAGCAGCAGCAATACCTTTATGGGATACTCTTGGGCTTCAAATAAAAGAGGGAAAAGCGAATAGCAGGACACTACAGAGAAAATACAAAAGTTTGTGTTAGCAAAATCCAAACACAGAATAAAGTGGATAATAAATGTGGCAAGAGCGCATGAAGTAATCAACTTTAACAGGAAAATGGAATGGAGTTAATAGGAAAAGGCAGAAACAACATCCTAGCTTTGTTTAAAAATGAGCAACCCAACAAGAACAATAAGGGGGCTGTGTTTGTTTAGGTTTGGAAACCAAGGGGTCGAATTATGGAGACAAACGTTGTAAGCAGATTATACGGCACACGATTTTTACTAAATTTGGGTAAATAATGATACAGGTGATGTTCCACATTTAATTTTAAGCAATGAAGAATACAGAAACTTAAGCCATGATGTTTAAAAGACAATAATTTAAACAAAGAAATGCAGTAAAGAACTAGAAATGAAGTATGGCATTAGGTAGTAATGACATACATGCTTGGCAGAAACTCATATACCCAACAAAAAGAAGAAAAAAAAAGGATATATTGCAAATAAATTCTAGACCTAAAACCTCCAAAAAGGAAAAAACAAAAAATGAGGCCCCACTAGAACTTCATTGCTAAAACTAGTCTCTTGACAACCAACTTCAAAATTTCATAGCTAGACTCAAGTTTCAAGCAAAAATTTTGATGGGCCTAGAGATAAAAAGGCCCTCCCCCCCACTCCTTTTCCTTCCCCTTTCCCTCCAACCAAACAATGGAAGCTCTTTCTTTTCCTTCCCTTTTCCCTCCATTTTTCTATTTCCCATTCTTAGCTCCAACTAAGTGGACCACAAGATATACTCAACAGACTTAATATAAAGAAGCCAGTGACCCAAACAATCGCTAGAGACACCTCCCTTGAGACCAAAAGAGCCTCATGGTTGACATGGGCCCTAAAACCTTACTTTTAATGTCCAAGAGAACAAGTTTTCTCTAGCCATGCTAGCTGAATTTTTACAATTCAGTATAATTATGTTAAGATAGAGCTCTCTTTATGTTCTTAAATAGAATGCATAATCTGATCTAATGATGTTAATCTCAGCCAGCAGAAAGGGGAAAAAAAGCTGTACAGTTTTTCAATACAAAACTCAGACCATCATTTGTTTGGAACCTAACTCTTAGCCCGCCTTTGAAGGTCATCATATTTAGGATTTTGAATTTTCAAATCAATTGCATGTATCGGATCATTTCTGTATAAACACGCACATGGAAAAGGTTGTGGTGATTTCTAGCAATTATGATAAATGCGAGGAAGAGAAAGAGATGGGTTGTTCTAGCAGTTAGGCCCGCCTTGTTTAAAAAAGAGTGGTTGGCAAGAGATAACAGAGTGTGTGAAGGAAACACAATGTATTCAAAGTTGTCTACAAAATACCGAACACATAAAACATTTTTCATCCATATGTGCATAGACTGGAGAAATAGAGAATGGTTGTGTTAGCATGGATGGCAATAGCAAGTATAATAGGCACTTAGCAGACTAGTTTTAAAATGTGTATATGTATTTTTGTAATTCATATATGAACGTTAGGCTGAGCTTACGTCGTATTGCTTCCTTGTTTAATGTTAAGGCAAGTATAAAATTTGCCACATTTTTACCTATGAACAGCCCAACATGTCTTATAATCCATTTTAGGGCTCTTATTGGTACTTAATGTAATTGTATCTTTGTAGCAATAGAGAAATAGTAGCTGATTATCATAAATAATTAAGTATTAGGGCTCTTATTGATATTTGCGTCTTTTATGTGAAGGATTACCAAATTTTGGCCTGTTTAATAATTTATTGACTCCCCATAACTTAACATGAAATTCCTTTAATCCAATGTCACCAAATAATATTAATAAGGTGGTAACTCCATGGACTACTTCACAACGAAGGACGACTTCCCCTAGGGATTTATTGCTGAAGGCCCCTGCGGAGGAAAACCTTTATCCCTCAAAATAAAATACGTTCATCAAGGGATTGACATGCTACTGAAGAAGCGAAGACCAAGGCATAATTTTCATTAAGAGAGAGAAGGGGAAAAAAAGTGCCCTTCATCAAATTAAATCTATGAGCAAAAAACAAGAGTGCAATGCTTCAAAATGATTTTTGGAATACTACATAATTTCAACTTATTGCTACAACAGATTTCTCAGATAAAATTACTGCCAAAATTGCAGTAAATTTCTAACTTCTTTCGATTTATTAATTTATTTACATTTAATTACTGACCATCATGAAGTTCTTAATGTTCAGGGGGAAAAAAAAAAAAAATGTTCTTAGTAAGTCAATTAAGTCATATGCATTTCAAAGATGAAAAAATTAGCTTTTACTAGAGATTAAACAGTGGTTTATCAGCATAACTATTGACAACAAAAGGTAATGCCTGGCATCCTCCATGCTTTGAGCTGCAATAATGGCAAGGGGGATCACAAAGTGAAGTGATGCCTTTTCATGGACATGCCACCCAAATAGGAACCCGCATGCGTAAGCATAGGATACCCATCTAGTAATCATCCTTGGTTGGGGATCCTTCCAAGCCTTAATAAGAAAAGGAGATAAGGCTACCAGGACCGTCATGAAGGTAATCAAAGGAGTGATCTGGATTTTCATCATTTATTCAAGTACAAGATTGGTTCTTAGCTGATATTTGGCATTGTTAAGAAATTTGATAAAATTAACTCTGACAAATTTATAAATTGATCAGTCAGTCAGCTAAATTGTGTGCATTATGAATGGGCTTGTTTACAGCAACGGATACCAAATCCAGCACAAATAACACAAGTTATTTAATATTATTACCTGAGGTAGCACAGCAAAAGGAGACAAGTCTCCCACTAGTCCGCCAGTAAATGAAGCGGTTGGTGCTTGGATGCTAAATCCCAGTTTTGCAAGCAACAAAGCGAACCCTTTATCAAAAACAATATAAAATACCCAAAAATTTGGAGCCCAGTATGCATGGCAGAGTCCCCTGCCAAAAGGGAACATGCGTCGAAAAACTTGTTGTATGTGCAAAATAAGTACAGTAGGGTTACTAAATAAATAAAACAGTGACAGAGCATGGAAATTGGGATGACAAGCAATAAATAGTGTTGTATTTAAGCCAAAAAAAATCGGTGGAGGAGCTAGTAATTAGAATGCTAATTTCGTTTTAAACTACATATTCAAAATACTATGCATGGTAGAAATGTGAATGTTGAGATGGATGTGGCATAAAAGGAAATAAAATATAACAGAAATATAAATTAAATAAATTACATTTGAGAGAAGGTGCAATTAGCATCACTTTGGAAATAAAATGAGAAAAACCAACTAAGATGTTTGGCCCTCGAGAGAGCGCAAGTAACATGGTCCACATTGAGAGGTTATGCTAGAACACAAATGGAAATTAGCATAATTGAGATAGCATCATAATAAGAAAAGCGCGGAAACGTATAGGTTACCTAGAATTATGACCTAATTCTGCAAAAAGTTGAAAAAAAAAAAAATGACCTCAGACAGTTGGGGGACTGTGACCACTTTCTTGTAATGGATTGTGTGTATACATATACGTTCTCAATAATTTCTGTTGACATAAAATTTCAAGTTGGAATATACAATCAAGTGGTTCAATATAGCAAAACAAATGAATAAATATATGAGGATTCTCAACAGTAACAAAAAAAGGTACCAAACTTCATACAAATTTGATTGGTAAATTACCTTGCCATAATATACAAATGGCCCATACGCCACCATGAAAACCGCCACGACGGCTGCCCCCATTGTGGAGGGAAAAAAACTCCCCTCTAATAAGAAGCGTACACGTCATCACTACACATATCTACATTCCAAGGACATATGAAGCCCGTCATGCTCAAGCCTAAATTGAGTGTATTTTTAGCCCAAGACCATTGTTATTTGTCTTCCAACCTCCATCAAGGCCGAATCAAGAGGTCATCAGCCCAACTTGTTAATATTTAACATCCGGTCCGTTATTCAAGCCCAGCCGGATCAAAGTATGTTTAGCCCAGTTATTCAAGAATGCACAAGTCCTACCAGTTGAAGGATTTACCATAGAAGGAAAATTCTGAGATAGGAAGTTCTGTACAAGGCAAGTTCTATGTATGGAAAATTAGACAATGGAAAGAACTCTATTAGTAAAGAATGTTTATATAGAAAGAATTGGAGGACAAGTAACGCGAGTCCTACCATAATTTTACAATCTTTTGTATATAAATAGAGGCTTAGACCTCCAATAAAGGGATCAAGCAATTCTACGCTTTTCTATACACCATTCTTATTTATTCTTATTGTTTTTGAGTGAGTTGTTTGATTTTTCTCAATCATTATTGGTTGAGCGGAATTTTGCACCTACACTTTGGCGCCGTCTGTGGGAATCGTATAAAAATATACTCCCACTTGTTCTTCAAATCAAATCCTTAGTCGTATCTGGAATGTCAAACGGAGAGTCAGCAATAAATCAACAGATAGAATTGATGCAAAAGATGCGAGAGGAGTTCTTACACCAATTTGAGACATTCCAGCAAGCAAACGATACGAGTGTCGCCCAGATAGCTGCGCTTCAGCAGCAAACTCATACGCTACACACGGCAATGGCCAGGCTAACGCCACAACCACCACCAGGCGATGCTGCAGCACCACCCCCCACCAAGAATTTACCTCCAGTTCACGAGCCTCCGGCCAACAGGCCACCACCCAACGGGGCTTGACCTAATGAGGTTCAGCAACAGCAAGGGACGAGGTCCGAGGCGGTTGCTTCGGATAATCTCCCGCGTCGCACACAGGACGAACAGGCCGAGTCCAGCCATAGGCTTACGGTATGGTCCAATGGCGTTTCAGATGGCGCACGCGTACAAGATGCCTTCGACGAAAAGAAGCTATTAAGAGTTCAGACACCAGCCGAGATGGTTAGAGAGCACAAGAACTCCTTGGTCAAGACCCCCTTTACTGACGATGTGTCACTTGTGGAGAGACCAAGGAAGTTCACTATGCCATCCTTCACCCAGTTCGATGGGGCAGGAGACCCCTCTCGGCATCTCGATCATTATGCGCAAAAGATGGCATTGGACGATCATAACGATCCGTGGATGTGTAAGGTTTTTCCTACCAGTATAACCGGAGCAGCGTTAGAATGGTTCAGGAATAGGCCACACAAGTCTATCCCTGATTATGAGACCTTGTGCACTATGTTCTTAGCCCAGTATTGCGGAAATAAGAAGCAGAAGAAAAGTATCGCCAGCCTTTTCACCATAAGGCAAAGGAAGGGAGAAACTCTACAAGATTTCTTATCCAGGTTTAACATGGAAGCCTCGGAGATAGCAGATTGCCACCCTGCCACGGCAATCGAAACATTTAAGTTGGCAATGATCCAGGGAACCAAGTTTCACACATCCTTGATCAAATATTCCCCCCCGGATATGCAGACTTTGAACGCTAGGGCACAAATCTACATTCGGTTGGAGGAAAACGTAGCTCACCGTGCACAGCACGCTACCCTCGTCACAGTGGAAAACAAGTCTCGAGAGAAAGCTGCAAGCACAAGGATGCAGAAGGTTTCTCATGCCACCACATAAGTCACCCAAGCGCCTGAGAAGAGGCAAAGGACAGAGGACAGGCTTACCCCTCTCCGTACTACCTTAGCACGCCTGTTCCAAGAGAATAAGACGAGGTTCGCAACTCCTCAGCCCATGAAACAACCCTTGGAGCAGAGGGACAAAAGCAAACATTGTGCCTACCATAGTGTAGGTGCAAAATTCCGCTCAACCAATAATGATTGAGAAAAATCAAACAACTCACTCAAAAACAATAAGAATAAATAAGAATGGTGTATAGAAAAGCGTAGAATTGCTTGATCCCTTTATTGGAGGTCTAAGCCTCTATTTATATACAAAAGATTGTAAAATTATGGTAGGACTCGCGTTACTTGTCCTCCAATTCTTTCTATATAAACATTCTTTACTAATAGAGTTCTTTCCATTGTCTAATTTTCCATACATAGAACTTGCCTTGTACAGAACTTCCTATCTCAGAATTTTCCTTCTATGGTAAATCCTTCAACTGGTAGGACTTGTGCATTCTTGAATAACTGGGCTGAACATACTTTGATCCGGCTGGGCTTGAATAACGGACCGGATGTTAAATATTAACAAGTTGGGCTGATGACCTCTTGATTCGGCCTTGATGGAGGTTGGAAGACAAATAACAATGGTCTTGGGCTAAAAATACACTCAATTTGGGCTTGAGCATGACGGGCCTCATATGTCCTTGGAATGTAGATATGTGTAGTGATGACGTGTACGCTTCTTATTAGAGGGGAGTTTTTTTCCCTCCACACTTTGCCCCAAATTTCATTTTTAATTGAGTGACGGCTCCCATTAAAGAGGGAATTGAAACAGGTTTTTTACTTTGCTTCAGAGACGGTTCGAGGACTTTCATTATTACTCCGTCGTACAAGATTCTGCAAGAGTTACATTCGCCCTAGCTACACTCCTGCGTTCTTCATTCCATCGCCTTGTCAGGTTAGTTTTTTTTTCGCATCTTTCTCTTCAATCTTTCATTATGAGTACTTCATCTACTCCCGAACGTATAGACATTGGGGATTCTGAATCCACACCTTCATCTTCCCCCGTTCGCATTAGGGTTCCCCCTCCTAGGGTTTCTACAGATCGTCTTTCGTTGAATCAATTAGGTACTTCCCCCCTTCCAGCCGAGACATCCACCTCATGCTCTGATAATGTTCTTAGTCATGAAGAGAGGAAAGCAATCATCTCTATTCGCCGCATCAAGTTCTCTGTTGCTTCGGTAATGGAAGAATTTGATATTCCTGAGGGAGTAGAAATTGTAGAATATCCCGAAGGTGCCGATTTTACCTCCGACGAAGGAATTGAAGAGAATGAGTTGCTTCTTTCGGTCGGGCATCTTAGCGCCCTCCGGTTCCCTCTTCACCCCTTCTATCATTTAGTTTTCAACAAGTTAGGTCTTGCCCCCCTTCAGGTAAATCCTAATTTCTTTCGCATCCTTTCGGCACTGTTGGTGCGCCGGAAATTAGAGGCTCTGGATTTGACCTTTGCTGACCTTCTGCTTACTTATAATATATCTAAGCATGGGACCGAGCCTGGTCGCTTCTTTTTTACCTCTACCCTTCATCAGAGGATATGCACGAACCTTCCTTCATCCGAGAAGAAGTGGAAAGAAATGATGGTTATAGTTAAAGGAAAATGGTTCGTGCCCCAATCAATTACGCTCCCCATCCCGCGCAAGTTCAGGAAGTTAGGTATAGAATACTTAACCTCCCTTCATACCAAGTGTTCTGGCTGTTTCCCTTGCCAAGTCTTAATGTTTCGCCGTACTTATGAGTTTCTTGGTGTTTTTTCAGCTACATTCCCATCCTCTGCAGCTAGGAACAGACTTTCTTTTGTTGAGGAACGAGTCTGGAGTGACCCCTCACCTATCGAGGACCTGCTAACTTCTTCAAACCTCAAGGATATTGCCTCCAGTGCTGTTGCTGCAGACCTCATGGATCTGTCTTTACCATCCTTTGATAGTTTCCCCATGACTGAGGAGGAGATACGGAGGGCTGAGGCTTTAAAAAAGAAAGCCGAATATGCCCAACCCTTGGTCGTTATTAGGTCTACTGAGGGTGAGGTGGAGGCTGAGGAACCACCAATGAAGAAATCTCGCCTCAACCCCCCATCCTCTGGTAAGGGCAAGGTCCCTTCTAAAAGTAGAGAGAAAAAGGCTGGAGAGGCCGAACCTGAAGATGAAGTCAGGGCATATGTTCTAGCTGAAACTGGGGCTCCTTGGACTCCTTCCTTCACCAGGGCTGACAAGTCAGTCCTGCATTCAGGGGATTCTGTGATCACAGACCCTTCAGCTGCACTGGCTGTGGCCCGAGGGATGTGGGTCCCAAAGGACGAGGAAGCCATCAGCCAAATGGGGTTGGAACAACTACTCCCCTCTGCCCCGGTCCGGGCCATAGAGGTTCGTATTGCTCCTTCAGA